TCAACTTTGTCCTGGACACAATAAAAATGGAGTGCAGATATGCCACAAGAGACTTGACTCCATTTTTGTGATCAGTGAAAGACAGATTGCCTTTTCTTACCTAGATTTCTCTTTGGATGTAAGTTCATCTCATGGGTGATGTAAACAGACTTCCTGAGTAAATCCTCTGTCACCTTTTCTAAAGATGTTCCCTAGGAGCCTCTAGGCTAAATTTGAGTTGCTGATGAATGAAAATTTGGAGTTGGTATTTTCTTGTGCACTTCTAACTTGTGTGTTGGGAGATCAGATCAAGCTTCTGTGGATAAGTTGGCTTTTTATGATTTAACAATAAAACCTATCTATGGTAATGCCCTTGTCAGAATAAAACATTTTTACAAAAATAGAAGTTGTGTCTTTCCTGGAGGATAACCAGCCTTCATACGTCTTATCAATATGAATCTAGAGATAATTGTCTTTCAATAAGTAGGATAGAATAGGGCACCAGATGCCTAGTCTACCCCAGCTCATGGTTATTCATCTGGAGAAAGCAATAACAGGAGTACTGAATCTGCTCAGCACTTCCTAGAATAGTCTACAGTGCCCTGTGGATGTGACAATGCCATTATGTTCTCCATACTCAGCTTATTGATGCAAGCAGTGTTCTTATATAGCACACTGTCCCAAATAAGTCGGTTTAAACATTCCATGATTTTGTAGTCTTTGGGATGATCTGATTCTTCTTCAGAGTACCTTGATAGAAGATGCCTGGGTTATAATGCATACTCTGGATGGATCCTTTGCATAGGTGACTCTGCTGTAGAATATTCTGTGGCTTCAGTAAAATCAGCTGGGACACAAATGAGTTAAATGCAGAGATTCATTATATCAGAGCCCACGGTCCTTCCAGATTTTCCTAGATGCTGGGGTACCAGACATGATTGGGTTTTCTTCCTGACTCCATGCTTTTTCCTGTACCCTAGGATTCTCAACCCCTCCTCATCCTCTCTGCAAAGCAGACAACCACTTTTGATCCCTGTACAGCTAGAGCAGATTCCTGAAGCTGCATCCCATTCAGAAGACATTTGGTGGACAAGGAAGGAGCGGATTTGTCTTTCTCTGATTTCCCGTAGTGGTATCTACTGGAGGCATAAGGGTAGTGGTGGCTTAGAGGCTTTTTTGTTGTTGTTGTTTTGCTTTTTCTTCTGTATAAAATATAAACAAACACGAATATATATTTTTTGAAATAATGCCCTTGTTCTGCCTGTAATGGACGTTGGAGGTATTTTAAGTTTTCATGTTTCCTTTCACAAGCATTATTTTGCATTTTTGTTTCTCTTGAATGCTGTAGCTAGTGGTTGAACTTTTGAGAAGCAGAACATGTACATATTCTCCCAGTGTTTACCCCATGAATGACTTCTTAGTTACAAAAGAAATGAATAGTTACCTTTCAGTGGAAGAATCTAGTGGACCTGCTTTAAGTACTTAAAATCAATACTATCATTAATAGGACAAGCCAACACCATAAGCTGTAGACATCTTGTACTGAGGAGAGTTATATTCATGCCAGAAATTCATGACTTGAATCTACTTGTGAGAACAGATTCAAACTGAAGGAAGGGCTCTCTTTCTCAAAAAATATTAGCCTTGAAATATGAAAGGTTTAAGAAGTAGGAGATGAAAGGAAGGAGTTATTCTAATTAAGTGCAGTGTATGCTCTTGAATTGGATCCAAGGATATAGGAAAATGTGTAGAGGACATTACTGGGGACGGTTGGCAGAATTTGAATATAGATTCTTAATGAAGGAAGAACCTGTATCAATGTTAACTTGAGTGTCAGTGTCCTTGGGGTTTTGTTCTAGGCTCTCTCCTAACTACTGCATTCCATCTGTGCCACAATCTATAACATCTAGATCAGGTTGCTTTATCTCCCATTTTTGGTATCAGACTCTTCAATGTTTATATAGGTTTCTCCTTTGGTTATTCTACTGACAAGTCAAAATCAGCCCATTCTCTATCTTCATGCCGCTGTAACAAAGCACCTGAGGTAATTATCTTACCAAGAGAAATGGTTATTATGCCTTATGTCTTGCCAGGTTGCTGTCCAAGATCAAGCAGACCCATTGCTTTGGGACTTTGATGGAGTATCAGTTAATAATGGTGGGGAATATGGAATAGAGCAAAACTATTCTATTAGGAGCCAGGAAACAAAAGACAGAAATGAGTCAAGGTCTAAAGACCTCACGTCACCTGAAGATTCCCCCATCTCCCAGTAGTACCATTCAGTAGTACCTATCTCCCAGTAGACCAGATCTGTACCTTTGGGGGACCTGTATCTGAACCATAACTCTTACCTTCCTTGATCAGACCTTTGGTCTCTTCAAACCTAGCTACTCTTCAGAGTGTCTCTCAAGGAAATGTCACCAAGATCACCCATCATCCATGCCAGAATCTGAGCAGGACTTTTTTCCTCCTCTTGCCTCCCAATTAACATTCTCCTCTGGGAAACCAAAATAAACTTGGAAGATGTCAGGTTGTACCCTGTTCTACCTTGCTGAATGTCTCCCTGTCATTCCACTCCCATGAGAGAGAAGTCAAACTCCTCGGCAAGGATATGATTCTCCATAACACAGGCTGAGTTTAGCTTTCTTTATCTACTGCCACTGTCTTCTCCATTGAACTGAATTTATTTTTTAGTTTCTCAAAGATGCTAAGTTCTCTTTTCTCTCTCTCAACCTCATCATGAACCCACCTCTTTCTTCCACCTAGATTAGCTTCTGAAGTTTCTGATCACAGCTTTAGGGTCATTTCTGTGTGTGGCTAGTCTCCTTCTAAATCCATCTACACTGAAAATATTGCTGTACTTTCTCTGGTGCACACTCACCATACATGGGTACCTGTCTTTTATGTTTGCATCTCACTGGATTATTAGAAATGAGAGATCAACTCCATCTGTGTTCACAGTTTAAACTTCTAGTCCTAGAATAATTCCTGGCAAATTAATGTTGCTCAATCAAAACATTTTTGTTGTTGTTGTTGGTCATGGGGCTTGAACTTGGGGAAGTCCAGTGAAGTGTACACTTGCATGAGAGTTACAGAAAGCCTTCTCTCCTCTCCCGGCCCAACACCATTGCCTCAGCTCTTTGAAGTGGAATCTGTCACATCCAACCAGATCAACCATGGTCATCACTCAGCAAGGAAAATTTATTTCAGCTGCATTATGATATGCTTCCAAGTATGAAAATATCACCAGGGATTCTGAAGCACTTAAGCGATTTATTGCCAGGCTACCATGGCTCCTGTCTGTAATTCTAGCTACTTAGGAGGCTGAGATCTAGGGATCACAATTCAAGAAAGTCCATGAGGCTCTTATGTCCAATTAACCACCAAAAAGACCAGAACAGAGTTGTGGTTCAAATGTCAGAGAACTAGCTTTGAGCGTAAAAGCTCAGGAACAGTGCCTAACCTGTGGGTTCAAGCCCTAGGACCAACACACACACAAACACACACACACACACACACACACACTCAAACACAAAGGGAAAGAAAAAGAATCTCACCTAAAAAAATCTTTCAGGAATTCCTTCAAATAATTAAATTAATACATGACACAACACTGATAAAGAAGTGAAGGTTTATTATTCCCATGACATATGAACAAAAATGTTGTAATAAGAAATCAAAGTTTTTGGAAATTAGGAATATTAAAAACCCTCAGTAAATGATTAATAATGAATACCAAATTGACTATAGAAGAAGGAGGGGAAGGCTGGAAATGTTATAAGGAGAAAAATGTCTAAACTAAAATAACCAAATATTAGTCCACTGCTCTCTCACATTATATACTTTTTGTGCAACCAAAACTTAAGACATTTATATCTCACCAAATAATAATAAAAACAAATTGAAACTATTCTTAGGCCATAAGAAAACCTCAATCGATCTCAAGGTAGACATCCTAAAGACTATAACATTTGACTATAATAATAAAAAACTGGAAAGTAACAACAAACAAAATGCCAACTTCAAAATATCTTCATATTTTAGGGGCAGGAGAAATTAAAAATCAGGTTTCACATAAATTTAATATGGAGTTGCATAAAAGTCATCTTAAGGGCCTGGGTGCTGCCCCTGAGCCTCAGTGCCACTTCTGGTTTTTAAGTCGTCAGTTGGAGAGATAACAGGGACTTTTCTGTTTGAGCTGACTTTGAACCAGGATCCTCAGATCTCAGCCTCCTGAGTAGCTAGGATTATAGGTGTGAGCCTCTGGTGCCCAGCTTCTATGTACTTCAGTGAGACATAAATTCATTACCTCAAACATGGGTTCAGATAGTGCTTTATACAACAAATGGAGTTTAATTGCTGTGATTCAGCCAGAAACAGCTAGGAAACCTTCCACATTTTCAGAATATTAAAAAAAAATGTTTGCTTGCCAGGCACTAGTGACTCATGCCCATAATCATAGCTACTCAAGAAAGCAGAGGGCCAAAGGATTTCATTTTAATCCACAGAAAAGTCCACAGGACTCCATCTCAAACCAACCAGCAAAAATCTGGGCTGGGGATACGGCTCAAGTGGTAGAGTATCAGCAGAGCAAGTGAGCTTTATTTTCTGGAGTGTACTTGAATAAAAAATTAAATTGCAGTCCATCTTTAATAAGTAATCTGGACATATTTGCATACTCTTAAATTAAGGCTCCACACTTTTTTCCATGGGATCTGAATGGCAGTGGTCTTTGGGGCTGTCGGTACCTGGGTTGGTATTCTACAGGTGTTAACACTTCAATTTTCATCATCTTGCCAATGTTCAAGTGCCACATTAGCTATTAGTGTAATTACTGGAGTATTTCTTATGAGGTTTTATAGTAGAACATAATGGAATATATAAAAATTATGTAATAGAAAGGGATTCTTAACTAATTGAAGTTGATATCTGAGATTTGGAAATTTCTAGATCAATTTTTAGGTCAAATGTTTTAAATTACTATTCATTTATAAACAATTGAGTTTTTTTTCCTGTTTTAGGGTTTGGAAATATCTCACCACGCACAGAAGGTGGGAAGATATTCTGTATCATCTATGCCTTACTGGGAATTCCTCTCTTTGGCTTTCTTTTGGCTGGAGTGGGAGATCAACTTGGAACCATATTTGGAAAGGGAATTGCCAAAGTGGAAGATACATTTATTGTGAGTATCCCATACTTCTGGGTACATATATTTATTGTTTGACATTTTTTCTAATACAAATACTACGTTTACTATGACTTTAGGGAGAGTTAAAAATCCAGTTATTAAGGTTCCCATAACCATTTATATGAAAATCTCCTAGCATGTAAGTTGCATTATTTTAATTATGATATAATTACCTGAATGAATAAATCCCTGTATGAGAAAAATGCAAAAGTATGTAGAGGCAAGTTGGGTATGTTGGCTCATACTACTCAGCTACTCAGGAGATGGAGATGAGGGAGGTTGTGGCTCAACGCCAGTCTGGGCAAAAGAGTTATATAGAGCCTGTTTCAACCAGGAAACTGTGAATGGCGCAGAATGACTTTCATCCTGGACATGTAGGAAGCAAATAGGAGTCTCTGGCCCCAGGGGGAGAAAACATGCAACCCTCTCATTAAAAAAACAAAAAACAAAAATCCAACCTCACTAAAGCATTAAAAAAAAAATCTGAGGGCATGGGCCAAGTCTGTCCAACAAGTGAAAGACTAAGTTTAAACCTTAGTATCACCAATGAATAAAATAAATAAATAATGTTCTTATTGAAGTTCCAATAATAATAACACACATCTTGATTTAAGCTTGTCTTTTGATAAAAATGATAGAAGAATTGAATGGTTGGATTTGAGGGTGAGATTATAATTTGGTATTACTATCAGCAGCATTCCAACTGAGTTTTATTTATTCAAAACTTTTATCTTTTTTCATAAGCAACCAAATGTTTATATTTAACTGTACAGATGAAATAAAATTACTGAATATTGTTTCTTAATATAGATTGCTGTCCCAAAATTTTAGCATTAGTCACTTTACACATTTAAGGTTCAAGTTAGCACTCAAACATTTCTACTATTAGAATGGAAAAAGACATCGTTACCCAAAATAAGAGTTTTGTTTTTCCTTGGTATTATACTTTCCTTAAATAAATGTTAATATGTCTTGTATTCATCTTAATCAAGAGGTCAGTTAGTGGCACTGACTTGAAATGCTGACTTCTTCTCCTTACATCCATACTACATACTAGACATTGAAAGAGACTCTTATAATCTCTTCCTTTTCTATGATTTATTAGCTCTTTATCATCAAAAATTCTATTCTGCATCATTCAGTGATTTTTCCAAATGGTACGAGATATTGCTCTTCAATATTTACAGTGCACAGATCCAGTCAGAGACGAAAAATACATGGTATCTAAGCCAAATATGGCAGGGCGTACCTGTAATCCTAGCAGTTGGGATACTGAGACAGGAGGATAGTTTTGTCAGCATGAGCTGGAATACATAATGATACCATGTCGCCAACAAAATCAAATATAAAATCAAAGAAACAAAAGGTAACTAACCTCAAACAGACAGGAAGCAATAAACTGAATAATGAAGTGTAATACATGATAGTGATTTCTTACTGGAAAAGGAAAATAACATGGCAGGTGCTGGCTCTGATGATAGCTGTGACTGGGGTTCTGAAGGCATCCTTCCATCCAGGTCTGCAGCTTTGGGGTTGTGCATTTGGAGGGAGGTCACAGAGCAGAGCAGCCATTCGCATGGCTCATGTGAGAATCAGAACCTAGGCATTGTTCGTATCCTAGTCCGTCGAATTATTTTCATAGTTCATGTTTAGCAATTCCCAATGGTGAATATGTACTTCTTATTTCTAGTTGTGTTCCACTTGCAATCCGTTACACACTTGCCCTGTAGGAATACCCCCCAAAAGTGTTCAGATCAATGAAGAATACATATCTGAAATCATGTTCTCGGAGCAAAATGGAGTACATTTTTGAAAAATGTTCTGCCTGTTGCAGAACTCTGTTAGTGTACAGTAGCATTCTGATTAGCATTGGTTGTGCTGGGTTGTTTATGTTATACTCAGATTTCATAAGTCAAGGTAGTTGAAAACCATGTATAGAAAGGGATAAAATGCCATGCTCAGGAATAGGTAGAGGCTGGTTGTGCGGGCATGTCCATAAGCTCTCTCTCCCTTCTCTTCCTTTAGAAGTGGAATGTCAGTCAGACCAAGATTCGCATCATCTCCACTATCATATTTATACTATTTGGCTGTGTCCTCTTTGTGGCTCTGCCTGCTATCATATTCAAGCACATAGAAGGATGGAGTGCCCTGGACGCCATTTATTTTGTGGTTATCACCCTAACAACCATTGGATTTGGTGACTATGTAGCAGGTAAGGCTTTTGCTGGCACCGCCATTGGTCTCCTGATGCCATCCTTTAATTAGATTTTTCACTTGGGTTTACAAGGAAACCTGCTGGCTGTATGAATTTGCTAGGGTTGCAGCAGTGAAATATCACAAATGGGGTGGTTCAAGTGAAAGGAAATCCCTTCATACAGAGGCTAGACCTTGAGACATCAGTGGACCATGAGCCTTTCCACTACTGAGGGTGGAATGCTTCATCTCTCCCCAGTTCCTGGGTGAGGCTGTTCATCAAACCATAGCCTTCCTTGGCTTTCAAATATCTCATTCCAATCCCTGCCTTACCATCACACCATGTTCTCCTTGTATTTGTGTCACCCTTTCCACACTCCACTCTTCTTGGAAGAACAGTGGCCTTAACTACTCCAGCATGACCTCATTTTACCTGCATGGACTTTATTTCAAGGAAGGTACCATTGGTCATGGGAACCTGCACATATCTGTTTGGTGGACACAATCCAGCCCACAACAGTGGTCAAGTTAAGCACTGATTCCTTGGCATTCTCAAGGTACATGGAAACGTGGGAGTTAAACATTTGTTTCTTCATTCTGCACATTGCTGGCTTTTTAGAAATGTCCATTTCTACTGTAATTTTATAAACTGAGTATCTGCCTCTTAAAATTGTTTCCAGTAGTACAAGATTTTCAAGTCCAATTTGCCTTTTCTTCATAGCTCTTTTATAACGTTAATTTTAAAAAGATTTTCACACCATGATTGTGGACACTTGAAACCCTTTCTTTATAATACTCATTCAAGTTTGAATTCTTAGTATTTTGGACTTTGCCTAAGGCAGGTTGTGTAATGTCTAAATTTTCTGATTCCCAGTTCTTTGATCTTTCTCTTAGGTAGTTGTGTGGTTGTTGTTGTTGTTTTAAATCACCATGTTGCTTAGCTCTTAATTCTTTATCAGTTCAACTCTCAATTTCCTAGCTATGAGATTCAATGGTACTTGAGCAGCTGTAAGCATGAAGTATAATGCTGGTAGTTAAAGTAAGTGCACACATGCCAGTCCTAGATAATTTTGACTAGTTCTTCCAAATTAAAACCCATTTTTTAAATCCAGTTAGAAGTATTAAAAAATCTTGGTAAACATTTAGTAGGAATATGTAACATCCCAGAATAATCTTATTGGCCTCATTTACTTTTAAGAGTAAATTATCTAATTTTATATAAAATTATACATATTATAACATATAATATATAGAATATAGTATGTAAAATATATAATATATAGAAATACAAGTAAAATACTATTTATCAAAATAGTATTTCCAGGAAATGGAAAAAGAGGCTTTGTCTTTTTTTGTTTTTATTTTTATTTTTGTCTTGCTCATTTATCTATCTTTGGGAGGGGAAAGGGGAGCACAGAAATGGAGGGACAAAGGGTGAACAAATACAGCAGTGTTCCTCATTGGACACTGTGTTGAAAATGAACTATACAACTTGTGCATGGAGATGGGAGGGAAACACAGGGAGTGAGTGAGGGAAGGGGTGACATTGTGCAAAATATATACATATATATACATTATATATACATATATATGTATACATAATATATACATATATTATATATGTATATACATATATACATATGTATGTGTGTATAACTATATTCATATACAGGTGTACACATAGTCTATAAATATGTTTGTCCATATATTTTTATATAAAGTGGTGCCTGAGTTTATTCAGGGCCTTATGTTTACTTGCCAGCCATATCTTCAATTTGGCTGTTTGCTGGTTATTTTGGAGGTGGAGTTAAGTGGGTTTTCTGTGCACTAGAACCTGCCTTTTCTGTCCACTGGAACTGGAACTGAAATCTGCTAGACCTCAGAAGCCTGAGAAGTCAGGATTATAGATGTGAGCAACTGGCACCCAGCTTGGAGTATGTGTGTTACCTTGAACAATCAACAAACAGACCAACTTTGTCAATACACTATAGCTCCCTCATGATCTACAATGTTTTAAAAATACAAAAATTATAAAGATTAAAAAATGTCCACGGAATCTCAATATTGTATTTGTGACCACTGTATACATGAACTCATACACTCACCTTAAGAGATCAGTATTCTGAAACCGGCTAGTGAGTTCAGCAGTGGCCGCTCTTCACTGTTAGTTGCTCATGAAGAAGCATTCAATACAAGCATCTCCTGTGTTTCAAGAGAGCTTGAATTCAATGAGTCTTTGAACAGTGCTGTTAAAGAAACTGTGACAAAATAATACTTGCATGCAATTAAGCATAATCTAATAAACAACTGTATTGTTTCTTGAGTTTTATGAAATTATGGCCTTGTGGAATATGTTAGATCCACTTTATTTGTATAAACATTATAAACATTTATTTGTCTTACAAAGGGTAATGGTGTTCCATTTTGTAGAGATTATAAAAATGAGAGCAACTGACCTTGCTCATTATGGGTAAAGGAATTTGATCAGGTTAAAATGACAAGTGCTAAGTAACATAAATCAGATAAGAGGCAGATTGATGCTTTGTTTGCTGACTCTCCTAAATTATGTATTTCATGGCTAAAGCTGGTCTTTGCAAAACTGTAGAATCTGTGCTTCAGACTTTCTGTGCCAGGTCCTGGGGTCCACGGTTTTTGGAATGAGAATGTGGGCCATGGGCAGATGTGGAGAAGGCTGGGTAGGAAATGTGAGCCTTTTTAAAGAATCGTTGGAAAAATAGAAATTGTGAGGTTTTTTTTTAAAAAACACACACACACACACAAGCTTGGCAAGGAATTGCCTCATATATTTCAAAATTATCCTTTGTTCCTGGGTGCCTTATGACTCTAAGTTCTCCACCTTGGAAATACTGGTGATAGAAAGAAAGAAAAAAGAAAGAAAGAAAGAAAGAAAAGGAAGGAAGGAAGGAAGGAAGGAAGGAAGGAAAGAAGGAAGGAAGGAAGGAAGGAAGGAAAGAAGGAAGGAAGGAAAGAAGGAAGGAAGGTAGATCATTTTGAAGCTTCTTTCTTGTTATTCTCACTTAATTTTGGTATTCTTCCAGGGAACAGCAAGAGGCATTACTCTTAATCCTTCCAACTTTACATTAGACTAAAATCTCAAAAGAAAATATAGCTCTCCCTCTTAGCTGACAAACTTCCCAGTGCTTTAAGATCAGCTCTGTTGAAGGATTAAGCATCCATGAGATTGTCATATTCAGTGTCTCTGAAGGTAGTGTAAATAATATATTTGTCATACTGTAGTGTTATTAAAAAAAGAAGTCTAGAAAACAACTTAAAAACATTAAGAAGGCAGGTGGTAATATATCTGTATTTCTTTTATTAATTTTTTATTGTTATTATAAAGGCGATGTAAAGAGGGGTTACACTCATATAAGTTAGTTAGAGTATATTTCTTTTTGGACAATGTGACCCATCCCTTTGTATGTGTATTTCATAAATGTTGGTATAATAATTAACAGTATCTCAAGAACAGCTAGCTTGTCCCTAGGAACAAACAAGAAAGCCCAAGCAGGTAGACTTTGAAAATAGTCTCCCTGTGAAGAAAATATGACAACCTTCTGGCCATATACTATCAAACTTCATTCCTTTCTTTTTAATTATTACTGTTTATCATGTTGATAATATATGTCTTTTGGTTTACATGTGTAATACTTTTTAAGTGATGACGATGTTGAGTCAAAAGCATTTAGAGACCACTAGTATAGACATACAGATAACATTTGGGTGTCTTTGTGTCTGTAAACAGCTTTTTGTCCTTTTTTTTTTTGCACGAAGGTGTCCCCTGGCACATTGCAGTGTTATATTTCTGTTTGTGTTTGTGCAGGGGACATGTTGTAATGGCTGGTTACCTTGGTGACTGCTATCTGATCTTTCTTCTGGCCTTTTTTGTCCTCTCTAGTGCTCCATGTCCTGGGGCTGAAAAGCACAGGGAAGCCACACAGTGTTATGTGGTAGATGAATTAGCTGAGCCTCTCTTCTGAGAAGAGAATGCAGACTAGCTCCTCCTGAGTGTGGAAAGAAAAAAAGGAGACTTAACAAGGTGTGACTCACTTGGGTTTAAAAGTGCCTATGATTTATAGTCAAATTGTGGAGCTATGTTATAATTAATTCCAAAATTGAGTTTAAGAGTTAATGTTGATTTCCTTTGTTTTGCATCTTAATTTTTGTCTATTTTTCATTTCAGCGCTCATTGGGGATGGTTTCTTCTTATGCTTTGCTTGTCTTGTGAAATTCAAAGTAAAGTAAAATCTAAATAGATGGGTGCCGGTGGCTCATACCTGTAATTTTAGCTACTTAGTAGGCTGAGATCTGAGAATTGAGGTTGGAAGCCAGCCCAGGTGAGAAAGTCTGAGATTTTTATCTTTAGTAATCAACCAAAAAGGTGGAAATGGATCTCTGTCGAAAGGGGTAGAGCTCTAGTGTAGTGCAAAAAATGCTCATGGACAATGACAAGATTTTGAATTCAAGCCTTAGAACCAGCACGTGTGTGCACGCAGACACACACACACATACACACACACACATACACACACACGAGGATATTTTTGAAAAAATGAGGAAAAGTCAAATTTAGTTGCTTATTTAAATACAATTTAAAATCCCCTTTCAAATCTTAGACGATGCCATTTAAATATGGCAAAACAGAGCTTGTCTATAGACACTCACATGGCCTCTAGAGGAAAGGGTTATAGAATGCCAAAATATTGTTTCCTCTGAAACATCGCAATTCCAATGTCACTGTATTGGTATTAAGAGCTGAAGTTTGTTAGAATTTGCAGGGTCACAAGTGTTCTACCCGGGTAGGGTTAGTGTTGTTATGAAAGGGGCATGTACAGACTCTCCTTGCCCTTCCCCTTACTTTTCCTCCTACCAAACCACATGAAGGCTTTCACCAGTCAGTTTCCTGCACTTTGATATGGCACTTCTCAGCCTCCAGAACTGTGCGATGAGTTTTCTACTCTAGAATTCTGTTAATGCAACAGAAATGGACCATGACAGTGGATCAAGGATGTTCTGAGATCACAGTTGGCCTGGCCAATGTGGTTTGTATATAGATAGGCCTGAGGTTGAGTGCTAACTCTGTGTCCACTCTTTCCTTTTTATGTCTTTCTCCCATTCAGATTTTGCATAGTCTGTGAATCTTCTGCCATGAGCATGGTGACTGGGTTATAGGTTTTTTTCTTCTGGCTACCAGGGCCAGAAGAAAAAAGTTGACAGCTAGTTCCTGCCATGGCGTCTTGAAATGTCTGTTCTCACTTCCCTAATCAGTGGCTGTGGGAACAGGTAGAAAAGAACTTTCTTAATACAGAGTAGAGAGGTGGAAAACTACTTAATGGAGAGAGTTGGAACCTTTCTGAGCTATATTTTTGTGATTTAATCTGTTTGATTAGATTAGTCTCTGGCTGAGCTCCAGAGAGAGATAGCCCCCTTAAAGAGGGGGCTACCACATATTCTGTAAGCAATTCAAAGATCAGACTAACTACTTGGAAAATTTGTAAGACTCCTAAAACCTTTCTAACGTCCACCCATCTTTGCTATTTTTATTGCCAGTTGTATGTGTATTGCCATGTATAAGCCAGAAAACTCTTAAAATGGAAAGAGCTTGCATGCCTATTTTCAATGGGCACAAAGAGAAAGAAGTTATTCCTGCCAGATTGGTAGGAAACCCAGACGAGGAGAGTAAACCTCAGTATTTACAACCTGCATTTCAGATAAAAGAGAAGAACAAATCATGGATCAATGGAGATGGTGGAAGGGAGAGTTCAGAAATTCAACCCAGGGCAGAGAAATTAATTACTCTTACAGTACTATTAGTTCTTTTGTTTTTATTTGAGGCAGACACTTGATAAATAGCCAGGCAGGCCTCAAACTCTTTATTCTCTTGCTTTATCCTCCCTGGTGCTGAAATTATAGGCTTGTGCCACCATCTCTGGCTGAGGCTATCTGTTAACAATCAAAAGACATGTATATAAGTGTCCTGAACATAACTAGGAAATGAACACTTGTGATCATTACAAATCATTTTTATTAGTTTAAAAATAAAACTAGCAACTCTTTTTAGCAAGTTACCCTAACATTACAGATAGGTCAATTTGTGTAAGATTCTTGAATCAAGTGGATTGATCAATGTGCAAATTAATTGATAATTTTAGGTATCAGAAAGTCAATAGGATGTATAAATTGCTTCCAATACACTTTACATAGTAGTTTTTCCTAGATCATCGGACTGCCAATATTTTATGTTTGAGAGTAACAAGGAAGGAAAATATTGTTGTTTTTCCACGATTTAAAATCCACTAAAATGTGTGTATGTTGAATATTGTGCCCAAATATAGACCTTTTAATTAGTTAATTTATCTATTTCCCACTGTCACATTCTGTTTATAAGAAAGAAAGTTTATGAAAAGTCATCTTGAGCATAAATTTGCTTTTCTGCATTCAACATCGTGGTGAATTTTTGTGTTGAGTGAATCACAACAATTTGGATGAACATTTTTCTGGTTTTGAAAGAGAAAGTACTTGGGGAAAAATTTCGTGTAGGTTTCATTGAAATGGAAACATTTGGAAAATGGGATTTTCTGGTAAGCCTATCAAATGACCGGTTTTCATACTCATTTCTGTGAATCTGTAACCAGGATAGGCAAAATCTTAAGTGGCATAGGATGCTTTCAACTCTCCAACTCTTCACAGAAATACGTTTTTAAATAAAGTCCCTTTAGGAGGCAAATATTTTAACAATACTTTGAAGATAGCATTATTCCCTTTGTAAACTTTATTCCTAAGATTGTCTCAAAAGAAAGTAGGGTCTCTTATCTGTGTATATTTTTTATTTACTCATTGAAAATATGCCCTCCCTTTTTGTATTGAAAAATGCTTGTCTTCTCATTATGGGCAATCCAAAGTAAGTTATCTAGAGTCATGTTATGTTCAAAATTTTACATTTGAGTTTAATTGTATACTAGTATCTATTAGCTTTTCTTCTGAACATGTGAGTCAATTTTTGAGACCTGAGTTATCTCATGACTCCTGTTGAAGCATCTCCAGTCTCTTGTGTTTGAGGTTAAAATGCTAATTTCCTGCTCTGCTGTCAGAAGTGTAGGACCTGTATGCTAGGGTCCTACTGGGTAGCTTAGCTTGTTTGCATCTTGAGCATGTCAGATCTATCAAATTTTCCACCTTGAATCCTTTTGCTTCAGTTTAGTTTTTCTCCCATCCCCTCTTCAGTGACCGTCAGGAGGGTTTGTGGCCACCAGAGAGTTCTTTCAACATGTCACACCAACTAATTGGTGACTGTATGTGCAGTTTCTTCCCAGTCAGCTCTAAGTCCCCCACAGTCCCCCACCAGCTTCTTCTAAACCACAGTTCCTCTTGGGGATTCTCTATTCATCCTTCCTTCTCTGCCACTGAGATCTTTCTGCTCAGAGAGTCAAACATGAGTATAGGGCCTAGTTTTCTGTAAATGTTTAGCTAAACTCCACTGGGTTAGAAACTTTTTTAATCGTTGAACACAACCTGTTTTCTAGATTCCTCTTTCCTACTTGTCTGATGCCTAGTTTCCATTCATATGGAGTTTGATCTACTACCACGAAATCCTTCAACTCTTCGTGGATGTTCACACTGAACTATTCTACATCTCGATGCTCATCATGTGTGACTCCTCTCCTGCCTTCTTTCCCTTCCCCCTGGCAGATGTAAAAGCCATCTCTCCTATGTTCTCTCAGCACACTTTAATTCTCCTTTATTCAGTGGCCTCCATTGTAGTTAATGGTCACATGAGAGTTTCTCAGGCTAAATTAAGAATTGTTTTAAGACAGGGACTTGAATTTTTATTTGTAAAAATAAGTTTCGGTGTTTGAAACTTCATAAATCCCTCCACAAACCTGCACAGAGTATAAGGATGTGTTAACATGTAGACAGATACTCTTAAGAATAACTTGATGGAAAGTGAAGGCAAGGATAGTAGAGGAAAATAGCTCCTTTTTCAAATTTTTCTTGAGAACTCAGGTTTAAACCTGGGGATTCCTTTGGAAAGTGAGCAACAATGATATTATTATCTGCAAGTGATTGTGTGTTCCAGTTACACCCATGAAGACAGTGTTCTAGCATATGTTATTAACCTATTGTATTGATGACTTGAGCATAAAAAAATAAGAAACTATCAATACAGATACCCACTTTCTTTCTGATTGGCATTAAACCAGCTGTTTAGCATGTGTTTATTGAAAATAAAGTAAGTATATAAAGTTAAATGCATAACAAAAATGTCTAATCTCTACCTTCTACTTATTATAATAGAAATAGAAAGAGACAGACATTCATTTTGAATTAGGACAAAACCTGTTGAGACAGATTATGTAAGTGAAAAAGAAAAAAATCACCATGGAGCAAAGGAAAATCATTACGACCAGGACAATCAATTAAAGGTCACACTATGCAGTGCTCATTTGAATTGCTCCTGAAGAAGTAAGCTAAGGATTGCATAAGTGGAAGCAAGCAATTCAATGTGAAGGAAAAAAATCACAGGTCCATGGCTAAAGAATATGAGATTTCTACCTCATGCAAACAAAAATTCACTTGAGAATTTTAGTGTATTTCCTTTAAAGAATATGAAGTTATTTTGTTCTACTTTATTTTTCCCTCCCAGGTGGGTCAGATATTGAATATCTAGACTTCTATAAGCCTGTTGTATGGTTTTGGATCCTTGTTGGGCTCGCTTACTTCGCTGCTGTCCTGAGCATGATTGGAGATTGGCTCCGTGTGATATCAAAAAAGACAAAGGAAGAGGTAAGAATTAGAAGTGTGCAAAACTGCACACTTCTATTTAGCTCATCAGAAAGCATTGCTTTTTTGTTTATTTGTGATATGGGAATTTGAACTCAGGGATTGCAATTGCTTGGGTGATGCTCTGCTATTTGAGCATGCCTCCTGCCTAGTTTTTTGGTGATTATTTTGGAGATATCATCTAGCAAACTTTTCTGCCATGTTGGTCTGAAACTATATTTGGATCTCCGCCTCCTAGCTTTAGCTAGTATTACAGCCATGAGTCACTGGTGCCAGGTCAGTAAGTGTTTAAATACTTGGATATTATTTAAATATTTTAATATTTGCATTTGGTATGACTTTATTCTGTAAGATAATGGAGAGATATATCAAATGGGTTGTAATTTATTCAACTAATTATGTGCTACATATGTCTGGAAACTAAGATTCATTTGTAATGAAAAGATGAATTTAAAATATTTTTTCCCATTTTTCTCTATTTCTTACTCTTTCCCTTTTTGTGTTCCTTTATTCACTCAAGAACACAAAGTGAATTTTATTCCATAAAGAAAAATGTAAGAGAAAACATTTGTGTCAAGGTGTCATAGTATTAAGTAGTGAGTTTTATAAAATATTGACTTTTTCTCTATTTGTTTCTTTTTCTTCTAAATATGTATACACATGTGTATATAGCTGCCCTCACATATTCTAAAGTCTTACACTTTATAGCCACTTTCCCCTAAGCATATGTTTCTGCTAGTCAGAAAAATGTCTTTTTACTTACTTCTACAGCTATCTATGTAGAAGTGAATACAGAATTTTAACACATGAGATTTTGAAAATGCCATTCTTTGGAAATCAAATTTTGATTCACTTACATGCCCAGACATGTTATTTGATTATGGTGGAGTAGTGTTTTCTGATAAATTCCACCCCCGTGTGTGTGTGTGTGTGTGTGTGTGTGTGTGTGTGTGTGTGTCTATATTTGGCTTCTAGGTCTTATTTCACTTTGCTGATTGCTTAAGAGAACAAAAAAATCTGTTAACATATACCCTATGATACTCATTGATTTCCTTTATTACCTTCTCAATTTCAGTATCTGCTGTTTATATATGGGTCAAAAGAGATCAGTACTAGATCTTTGATTATTGTGGCATAGATATACCAAAATGGATAGGATAGAATAAGATAAGAAGTTATAAAATTTTTCTTTATAAATATTGTCTTCATTTTCTTTGAAACTTAAAGAATACTTTTATTGCTGCTTAAGTTCTTTATTATAACCAACAAGAATGTAAGTTATCTAGCATTTCATCTAGCATTTCACCATGAGTAATTCACCTACTTTGTATGCATGTATTAATCTGCAACATAATTGTACTATAGCACCAATATTTTTATTATAAACAAATCATCAATGTGCTTATTATGCTAATATAAATTGTGTGAAAACTCTTGAATAGGATTTGAATAGATTTACCACAATCTCTGACTCGTTTTGTGGTGTGTGTGGGGTGTGTGTTCATGAGTTTGTGGATGTGTGTGTGTGTGTGTGTGTGTGTGTGTGTGTGTGTGAAGGATATAATTAAAACCAGCTAAATATTTTCTAGTCATCATCTTTAAGTATATGAACCAATGTGAGATATATATTTCATGCTTTCTATAACAATGAGGAGAGAAGGAGAGAACAGGAGACTGAGAGAGGAAGAAGAGAGTAGAGAGAGAGTACAGTTCTTCTGATTTCATGTGTACTTTTACAAATATTGTAATGGTAAGGGGAAAAGGAAATTGTAACAAAGAAATATTTTGGATAATATAGATAAAAGATGTTACAGCTTTACCATCCAGCCGTAAATTAGTTTACAAATGGATTTAAATACATATTTAATTTTTTAATAACAGAGTTGAACAAAACAAATCTGCAATGTGAAAACTAGTGAGAAAGTCAACTCATTATACACATATATAATATAAATATATTACATATATATACACATATGTACTCATCCTTCCATATACACTAAGATAGATCCCTGTCATAAAGATTAAAAGCCACAAGATATATATATACTGCTATCTTAGTAAAGTCTCTGGTAGTAGTATATTTGGATAAAATTTATTACTATTATCCTTTTTTATTTAAAGTAAATTTATATTATTACAAACCAAGACACCATGGTTTTAAGTGAATGCATCTTTCTACATAACTGGCTCATTAGATATAGAAAAGAAGTTCATGTGAGTAGTTCTGAGGGAACTCCATGACTCTGGACTCTGGACATGAGTGATTCCATGCCTGCTTAACACAAGAAGTAGGAAACATTTAATTTTGTTAACAAAGGGACATTGTGTTCAATTGTTAACAACGTGTACTTTCTAGCTTTGCCTCGGTAAGAAAGCAGCGCATGTGAGCAGAGGCCATGACCTTGACTTCACGTGAGCCCTTTGGAGCTCCAGCTGCTTTGGATAGCTGAACCAGTTGAAACATCACTTTTCATTTGAACAGATGTGAATTTTCTGATTTATAATGCAATTTAGAGAAATGCAGAATAGGATCACAAATTCAACAGAGAATGTGAGAAAAGAGAGAAAGGGAAGACAATTTATTAGCTCTCTGAAAATCACCAGAAGCAAATAATTTTTTTTCTCTAAATGACAAAACTGCTTGAGTATCGATAGCAGTGGGAAAAGAGATTATCTTCTCTGAAATAATTCATTGAAGTATTATAATTAAAACCAGCTACACATATTCTAGTTGTCATCCTCAAGTAGACGAGCCAACATTAGATATGTATTTCATACTTTCTATAACTCAGTTATTCTCAGTACATCAGTTTTTAAGAGCTTCCAGAATTTTCAGGAGCAACAGTTATTATTATGGTTGTTATGAGTCTGTTGCTGGTGATCAATCCTAGGGCTTTGTGCTTGCAAAATACATGCTCATCACCAAGATATACTTTCAGATCAGAAAGATTCTTTCCAGCTGTCAGGATTTTTGTTTATAATCTGGTCCTAGGGCTTGAACTCAGGGCCTGGGCACTGTCCTCGAGCTTATTTGGCTCAAGGCCAACACTCTACTACTTGAGCCATAGCACCACTTCTGGCCTTTTTGTGAGTAGTTTATTGGAGATAAGAGTCTCATGGACTGCCCAGGCTGGCTTCAAACCACGATCCTCAGATCTCAGCCTCCTGAGTAGCTAGGATTACAGATGTGAACTATCCGTGCCCGCCTCAGGTCTCTATTTTTATTCAAAAGTCAATCAGTTTAAACCTTATCAGTAAAATAGGAACATGAAAAGCTTATCATGTGGCATTATGTCATTTTTAATGTTAAAATGTGCTGTTTAAAATAAAGCATAATTTTAATGAAATGATGATGTTTAGAAGTAAGGAATTATATTGTTTTCTAGCTGTCTGAAATATTTCAAAAGTACATAATGACTTTGGACACCACCAGATTGTTTCCAAAGTGAGAAAAATAATTATAGCTAATTCACATTTCTCAGGGAAAGCAATAATGAGCTGAACAATTTTTCCCTGGAGATGTACACCATGTCTGAAATATCTGAAAAATGTTGGTTGACCTGTGATGTTTCAAAGTACATGTTTAAAAATATAACTAGTTGTCTTTTCTATCCCACCTTTTTCTGAGGAAATGGTGTTTTCACTGAGCAAATACAGCTTATTTGGGTATTTAGCCTCGTACAGTATAACTGATAGCCAAGGCAAATGTACAATGTAGACACAATTACAGCACACAACAGAAGATAAAGCCTGCATTTACTTAGGAGGCAAGCAGGGAACAGCACATGCACAGTGTTTGTAATGTCCCTGTGTACCTGTGACATTGGAATTGGAACTGAGGTGTCTGCTTGCTAGGCAGGTGCTCTTCCACCTGAGCTAGGCCTGTAGATGAAGGCTACATATCTGACTTTGTGGATGTTGCTTTGATTTCTAACGTATTACAGGGGAAGGAAAGTACTGGCCAGTACAAGATTCTTTTTTGTTGTTATTTCTTGTTATAATTGTATTCTTATTGCAATAAAAAGTAGATGAACTGACTATTCTAAGTAGGACTATAGATTTAGTATGTAGCAGTCAGAGGATGCAGGTATATATATATATATAGAGAGAGAGAGAGAGAGGCAGAGAGAGAGAATTGCCTTAATTAACAAACAGGCAACTGGAAAGGAAAATTAAAATAAAATGCAGCAATATTAGATTTAAATTTATTATTATTATTATTGCAGTACAAGGTTTCTGAACTGAGGGCCTGTGCTTGCTGAGGATTCACTTGTGGACCATGCCTCCAGCCCATTTTTTGCTTTGACTAATTTCATTAAGAGTCTCATGCTTTTCTCAAAGCCATCCTTAACCCCAGATCCTTCTATCTGTATCTCTTGTGTAGCTGTACAGTTTTTGATAGGGTCTCACTGTCTTTTTTTAATTTGGACTGGACTCAAACTACTGTCCTCCTATGTGCATCCCAAGTAGTTGGTTTACAGCTGTGAGCCGCTGTGCCCAGCCAAGACATCATTTCTTTTAAAGGAAATGCTGGCTTTCAGGATCCAGTACATGTCTACACTCTAGCTTAATTTTCTGGGCAGTCATTTCTACATTACCCCAAATCCTGAATTGTGAGTCCTAGTGGGTCTAATAGTATAAAGTTCTTTACAAGTCAAAATATATATTTAAAATACAGTAGGATTTTGAAAGACATTTCTTATAGAACACACTTTCATAGTGATTACAAAGTACACATAACTATACAGTGACTTTGTAGGGCTACGTAGCAGAAAGCGATAGAACCACCCATATGATTTGACTCATAGCCATCTTTTCACCTCTTTGCCCAAGTGCTCAGAGTCTTGGTCATATGTGTTGTCCTGCCCCTCCTCCTCTTCCTTGCTCCTCATAGTCATTAGAAACATGTGTTCATATCCAACCTAGTTACAGCATTGTATAATCAGAGAATGGCATACCAGGAGAAAGATATGTCAGTCCCAAAGGATGTTCAAAGAATG